GCAACCACCCGGCCCATCCAAGTACGACCATAAACCCGTTTCCACAAAATCCAGGCCCCACAAGGCTCCCAAATCCCTAATTTGCTGAACCCTGGTTTAAACCCCGAAACCCACTAGCACCTAAGCCTCAAGCCCACGAATCCTCAGGCGCTAAAGTCCATGAAAGCCGAAAGCCCTATAGAGCCTCAGCTGTGCAAAGGTCCGTTTTAGCGCAAGGCGACTGCAAGGCGACTGCAAAGCGAACCCTTTCGCTTCGCCCCGACGAGGCGAAGCTGCTGCAGGTCGTCGAGGGCATGTCGCGCGAGTTGGCGCGCGCGAGGGCCGGGGGCTCCCAGCAAGAGAGGCCAGGAGTCAGAGTCTTTTAGGTTTTCGGGGTTGCCGTTTTCATAGGGAGAGGGCACTAGGGCTTTTCAAGTTTCAACGGATTTTGGAGTTTCGGGCCTCCCAAACCCGCGAAATCCCTACATCCCAAACCCCAAACCTTATAGCCACCACCCTGAACCGCCCCAATGCAAGGGCCGCAGTGCACGGGACCGAGGCTGACCATGGCAGCGACAGAGAAGCCTGGGACTCCGTGACCCAGGAGTTGGCTGTCGGGGGGGGGGGGGGGGCAAGGGTCGGTGCGGTTCTGCACTTCTTTGTTGAAAGCTTCTGGGCTTTCGATTCAAGGGATTCTCGACAGGTTTGATTTGGATTTGGGGTAGTACGGTAAAAGGTTTTGAAGATGCTTCCAATTCACATGGTTTGTTTCGTTCCGCATGCGTCTCTGCACCTAAAGACCCAAAGAAAAGCGCAGTGAATAAGACAAAGAGAATTTCCTAAAGACTTCAATTGCCCTGGACAGGTAATTGTTCTTGTCGTTCCTCCTTGGTTCCCCTTTTCATGGTTACATTGACTACAGTCATGGCATGATAGAGGCGTAACAAAAGGCTCTGGCAGCTGCAGCTTTAGATAAGAGGTTGGGGCTTTGGGATTTGGTCTTTGGGATCCGGGGTCTGGGTTTGGGTTTTGGTCATTTGATGACCGAGGGCTCCGGTTCTTTGAGATCCCGGGTCTTGGTTCAAGAACCTGGGGCAATGAGATTTTGTGCCAGTAGTGGTGATGAGGAAGAGCAAATTCATTGACTTGATTGCAGGTATCAAGCTGACCAGCGGATATCAAGATGATGGAGGGGAGAAATAACATCATGTGATGACAGCGATGGCCCGGCCATGGCGGTGATATTGCCGATCATGACGATGCCGACGAAGATGCTGTGCTCAACAAGGCTGCTAACGCGATTCGGATGATGAGGATGATGATGATGAT